AGTATTCTTAAGTATACTTACTTTTACCTCTTAAAAAAACATTGAAATGATTGTTACAATGGCATTAATGCTCATTAAGAAAAAAGGGTCAAAGTGCATCATGGTTCAATTGTTTGCAGATTTTCTTGCATATGCATCATTTTAAGAAATTGCTAAAATATGACAATTTTCGTATGAATATGGGATTTTCCTAGTCTAATTTTTAAAATGAACGAACAGATTTAATCTTGAATTCTTCATTGAATTGTTTTCTCCAATATTTATCCTCCCTGGCGTCAAATTAAACTTTTACTCCACCTGGAATGGCTGCATTACTCTTTGCAGCAATAGGCTGCAGTTCTGCACCAAACCAGCGGATTTCAGGTATTTGAACATCTTAGATTCTTCGCTTATTCTTGCGCATGTCGTGGGGACAGGGGTGAAAGGTTAGCTTCACAGATTTATGTTAAAAGCGAACTCCCTGAGTTTCCTGTTGAGTTTATGGAGCTGCAGAAACACCAACATCGGCATCCGCGCTAACGTTAGCTTAGGACTGCAAAGCTAACTGTGGGTTGTCTCGGCGGGTGGACAGAAGCTCCGAGGGCAGAAATACAAGCACTTACCTACAGCTGAAGCAGAAAACGAACACATCGGTGGTTGGTGGGAGTTAGAAAGTCTGTGGCTGCATAGTGTTTTTTTAGCACGTACTGCAACACGGCGCTAAACAACAGCTGCAGCGACACATGCGTGCTTCCTGAGTACGGGTCGCGTTCAGGGACACATGTCGGACAATTCAGTTTTCACACAGTCAGTTAATATTTGTTTCACTTGTTACCCACAACTAGGGTTGCCAACTCCCTGAAAAATAAATAAGGGACACCTCGTGGCCAGGGCCGGGCAACCCAGTTGTCTTCACCCTTCCCAGTGTGGTGAATTTTGTAGCTCTTTTTTTGTGTGTGAAATTATTTTTTAACCATTTGACTTGAATTTGATTTAAGCAGATGCATATTCTTTGTGATATGAACACATGGGAAACAAATGATCATTTAGCCGTTTATTTTTAGCTCAAAATGACAACATTAACACAGTAAAACAGGTCTCTTTCTTAAACAGAAGCCTGTCATGCTTAACTTTTGAGAATATAAGTAAATCTTTCTTTAAAAGAACTCTGTCCTGCTTAACTTAAAATAATAGAAAACAATAGAAAGAAAAACATTCTTGTAACAGTGCACATTTAGTGCATTTAGTACAATTGGCTTCAGCTGAGGTATTATTTCAGCTTTTCTAAAGCTAATCAGCTGCTCCTGTTTGTAAACCCGCTTGTTCCCATGATTACGCATCATAACTCATCATCATTATACATCTATGTATTACTTTTATGTATTAGTGATCTATTTGTTGTAATCATCTATCCTTGCAGTTGTTTATTACACAAAATAAATTATATTATCACACTTCTGGCCACATAGCGCTGATATTCACCGCACATGCCCATATTAACCTTAACCAGAGGGTTTAAACAACAAACAAACCAGTGTTTACATACCATATCTGCTTCTGCCGTGACCTGGTGGACAACAAATTGGTTAAGGGTTCCCCGAGCTTTCACGCCCCTCATGTTTTTCATGTGCCACCACTAGAAGCATGCCTATGGAAAAAGTGCGCCGGCACACAGTGCAGTGCGCTTTAAAGGTGTTACCGTGCACTTTTCCAGCCAGGTGTTTTCCTTTTCCCATTCCTCCCTGTACTTTTGCAGCCTTTTTTCTTTTCTTTCTCTGAGGGAAACAAACATTGCTGCTCTAATGCTGGGCTCACACTGTGCGATTTTTGAGACGATTTTTGAGTCGTGCGACCGATTTGGTGATCGGACCGATTTTGGCCCTCATCGTGCATCGTGTAGTATACGTGGGGTAACGAGAAGCGATTAACACCTCACGACCAGCTCCCGATCATCAATCGCTCGTGAGGGTGTCACCACAGGCGCTCACACTGCTCATGCGCAAACACGTAAACATCGGTGAAAAAGACGGAGCAGCACGGCTGTGCAGCGTGTGATCTGGACACAAGCGATGGAGGCACAACTTGTAGAACTTTGGAAAGCTCATCCGAGCCTTTTCGATGTGGCATCACAAAATTATCACGACCACAACAATCGTGAAAATAGTTGGATTTACACTGCTGCTCAATCACAGCTGCCTGATCATGTTTTTCATTAGCAATTTAGCAAAGTTGATGGTGGTGTGTCTGTGTGAGTGAAAGACAGAGAGAGAGCGACAGATTTTCTGTTATAACCTTCATGTTATGGAGGCACAGTGTGAGCACTCAGGTCGCATCAGAGCATCGGGCCGTATAGTGTGAGACCCTGCATCGTGACCTGCAAACTTCTAACCCCTGCGAGTCAATCGTGCAGTTTGAGCAGGAGCTGAATAACGTGACTGAAAATCGCACAGTGTATGTCCAGCTTTAGGTGTACTGTCGTCCGAGACTTGCACCGCAGTGTCGGCGTTTGTTCCCCTGTTGGCCATGCTTGTTGTTGTGGTCATCTGTTGTCTTCCGGTATTTTATCCGCAAGCGACCTTTCCTCGACCAATGAGATGAGCGGTAATCTGAATTGTCATACTCGAATTGTCATAAGTGTGCTGTCAGCTCATTGGTCACAAAGCAGGAGAGGGGCTGGGAATTATGTTTTCAAACAAAGCGTTAATTCCATTAACATTTATAGACTACTTTTGATTCTCACTGTATTACGGGACAAAGTGCGTCCCTTATTAGCTCAATACGGGACGTGAACTTTTGTTTCGAAATACGGGACGATTCCGTTTTTTAAGGGACGGTTGGCAACCCTACCCACAACGCACCAAGACCACACGACTGCATGGCATATGGTTTGGTTACTTAAAGAAGACAAATTAATGAAAAAAATAAAGTGAAATAAGATAAATAAATGATGTTTCCGCCCGGTTTCGAACCGGGGACCTTTCGCGTGTTAGGCGAACGTGATAACCACTACACTACGGAAACCGTGTGGCAGCTAAAGTCACCTGAGCATAGTTTTTAAAAGCTTGTATGCGGTCTACCGGTGTCAGCTCGGTTGCACGAGTGTTTACTTCTCGTCAGCAGCCCCCAACCTTTTTTGCGGCATGGACCGGTTTAATGTCCGACAATATTTTCACCGACCATTAAGGTGTCACGGATAAATACAACAAAATAAAATTATACGACCAAGACAGTGGTATTTTGTAAATATAATAATAAACGCGAATTCACTGTGTAATTGTGTAACTTTATCACCTGGAACACGCTCTCACAGTCTGTTTCTAAAACCTAAAGAGAATTATGGATTTGATCAACTGGTCTCTGGATGCTATTGACACCCTTTTCTCAATGACAAGTCTGGGCTCGGGAGAGCCCGAGTGTCCTGGAGGGACTTTCCCTGCCGGATACACGATGGACGGGTGGCAGAAATGGAGGTTCGTGTGCCTGGCGGGACTGTCGATCGAGGACGCTGAAGATATCTACCTATTCGGAACCATGATAACAGGGTGCTCACACACACAAACTACACCCTTTTTGGCTCCTACCTCAAAGCACACTGTGCGCTGTTGATCTTACGTGCTGCACAATAATGTTTAATATTTAGTATTTACAGTTATATTCCCATAGATCATCGTGATGTTGTTTATTATGTTGCTCTCGTTTTCTTCTGCTTGTTTTCTTTTTTCATTCTCAACAGGTAAAATCTACTGTTATCTACTGTTAGCTAGTTTATTGTGATGGTGTTGTTTTTATTATGTTGCTCTTTGTTGTTTGTTTTCTCTTTTGGTTTTTTATCTCCATACAGATGATCCAGGTGTTTTGTTTGCTTTTCTTTTTTTTCTTCCTCCCTTTCTCACCGTCTCTTCTCCCCTCTATTTTTCTTTCTCTCTCTCCCTCTCTTTCTTTCATTCTTTCTCCCTGTCCTATCCCCCAGGCATGTCTGTCCCGTCTTTAAAAAACGAAAATAAAATAAATACATAATTATAATAAAGGTCAATCAAATGGACCAATATGGCAAGGCCATGATGATCCACTTGGTAAAGTAAATCCACTTGGCATCTTTCTTGGCCTTCAGACAACAATGGCTAAAGATCAAAACGGGACAGGCAAAAAAAAAAGGAATACTTTGAGGACCTCCCTATTTCCACTGACACGTCTTCCATAGAGGAAGGCTTTTCTTTCAATGTCTAGCTAGCCAAGCGGTGCAAGGCTTTCACTTGGGTAGTATCTCATCTCTGAGATCAACAGAAGGGTTAGTGATAAAGACACTATACAGATCCGTTGTGGTGAAGAGAGAACTGAGTGAATAAGCAAAGGTCTCAATTAACTGGTCGATCTACATCCCCACCCTCACCTATGATCTCGAGCTGTGGGTAGTGATCAAACACATATAAAGAAATCAACAGCGTTAGTTCAATGATGCTTTTATTTTGAAAGTAAAGAATAGAAAGAAATAACCCCGAGTAAGTTTACAGTCAGTTATCTGTGTCTGGATTTATCCATCCATCCATCCATCCGCTTGCGCTTATCCTTTTCAGGGTCGCGGGGGGTGCTGGAGCCTATCCCAGCTGTCATAGGGCAAAAGGCAGGGTACACCCTGGACAGGTCGCCAGTCTAACACATAGGGACAGACAACCATTCACACTCACACCTAGTGGCAATTTGGATTATCCAATTAACCTATCCCCACAAGCAGCATGTCTTTGGATGGTGGGAGGAAGCCGGAGTACCCGGAGAGAACCCACGCAAACACGGGGAGAACATGCAAACTCCACACAGAAAGACCCCGGCCTGATGTTGGAATTGAACTCAGGACCTTCTTGCTGTGCGGCAACAGTGCTAACCACCATGCCACCGTGCTGCTGTGTCTGGCTTCAGATGAAAAATAAGGAAACATTCCTCCACAGCACTGACACACATTTTATATCAAACTAAATCAGCTGTTTACAATTTTATCATGATAGTCAGATTAGGTTTAACATCTGTTAAGAGTTTAAGAAAAACACCTGCATGATTATCAAAGGAGAGAAAAAAGAGGAACTGTTGGATTTTGCTCAACTTAACAGCAAAGACTCCAGTTAAAAGCAAACATGTGGGCCAGCAGTCACCAAAATAACAGACTGACCAACACAGGACAGTGGAGCCAATAAAAAACGATGCAGTTTACCAACTTATAGAAAATAGTCAGGACCTAATGGAGGAGCAGCACTTTATGAAGAGCCGACTCAAAGAAAGGACAAAGAGAAGAGAATCACTGAACATTTAACTGGATGTATTTGAATCAAAGATAACAAGAAGAAGTAAATTATCTGAGTCAGTAGAAACAAATAAACACAAAACTAGAACACAACCAGAAAGAGAGAGAGAGAGAGAGCAAGAAACTGATTATGGCAAATGATTCACTTCCTGTTTATCTAATGTCTAAGCTTCGCCCACACAGGTTAGTCCAAACAGGAAGTGTTGGAGCTGTCACACCTCTCACATGGTGAAAATCAGATGACCACTGAAGGTAGTGTGATGCTCTGTATTGTCATATATCCTTGAACCAGCCCAGAGACGTACAGACACCTGATCTCCAACCTCTAGAAGCACTGAGGCTCCATTAGAGGCGCTTGGCCACCCAGTTGATTGAGTTTCATATGCAAAAAAAATTTTCTCTTCATTCCTGAATAGATAAGCACCTGTGTGTGTGCTGTCACGTCCTAGTACTTTCCAGTCAAAGTGGTAGGCTCCTCTCACTGGTGCAGTGAAAATACCTGTGGGACATTTGTTTTTGTTAAATGGAAAATCAGCTGTTAGAACATCTGGAACATCAGCCTGACATCAACATAGCTGAGAAGTGACATTCAGTGTGATTACCTGTGTATGGGTTGTAGGCATTTCCAATGTTTGTGACAACATGTTTGAAGATCAGAGTAGTGCGGCCATTAAAGGGTCCAGTATCTCCATAACCTTGTTCCAGCAGAGAGGCTGAGAAAGCCACCTGTGTGACTGAGAGAGAGAGAAAATTCATTTTAAACTTCCTGTTTTAGAGTTAGACTCTTCGCACAAAAGTGACCATGACAAAAACTTTACAGCTTAAAGCGTTTCACTGTCACAGAAGAAATCAAACTCTGTCAAACTGAAATTTGATTGAATCTATTTCAATCAAACTCGTCCTTTAGATCAGACAGGAAGGTATTTTGTAGCTTCTGCCAAGACAACAAACTGTGTTACTCAGTGTTTTAGTTGCATCTTGGTTTGTGCTTCAGACAAACATGAACTCAGTTTAATGTCATTCAGTAAATTAGATGCAGTAATGAACTTAATGTGTGTTCTGAAGCTTAAAGAGTGCTTTCACTTTGATGACCTGCACAGAGTGGGGATACACCTGTAAACAACACCTCTGTTAATCACAGGTAACAATCACAAAAACCCTCTACTCGCTCTCCCACATTATTAGAACTACAAACATGGCTCCAGTTTTTATTTATTGCATTATTTGAGAGTGAATATTTTATCAATAAGTTTGGACTGGCTGTAGTTTCAAATACTAATTTGTGGTGGTGCTTGGACTGTGGTGCCGTGCGAACGTGGAGTTTTAGGCTTAAAATTAGAAACTGGTTGAAGGACGTACAGGCAGACAAACAAAAATCATCCATTCAAAACATTCTGACATCCTGTTGTCGGTTTCACACTCATCAGTATTTGACTACTCAATCACTTGGAGTAAATCAGCAGTACTGACTCTAAATTGTAATTCATATATTGTAATTTTAAATTGCTATTGGGAAGAGTTGTCACCATTAAAATTATGATTCTGCTTAAAAAGAACTACACCGATACCTAATAAACCCTCTCTTAAAATCATCACTGGTAGGTCTAAAAACATGACGGTGGTCTACAACTACCAAATTTGTATCACTACTTCTGATCCAATAGATTAAAAATTGATTAAACCAAGCTTATTAGACAGCTCTTGGCTGGACCTGGAACAAATTTCTAATCTGCCTTTCATATACTCCAGTATCATGACTTAGTTATCTTAATTAATTCCCATCAGGCTGGGAATTCTTAAAAATAAGAATTCTAAGTCTTCACTTATCCCATGTAAATGAACACCCATTAGGAACAATCCAGGTCATAAAAGGAAGATATGAAAATGTCGAGTCATGAGTAACATGTCATAGTCTAGAACATCTTATGTGAAACTGAAACTTGAATTAAAATATGGAATCAGCAAAAGTAATTTTCTTGAATATCAGCAACTGAAAGCCTTCATGTGAAAAATGTGAAATGTGTCTGAAAATGTGTCAAATATAGAGATATTTCAGCATTTCTAGATTTCAGATTTTGACACAGTACCATGTTGCTGCTGCTTCATCTGGTTGGCCTCAGTCCTCTGGTTCTGCAGTTCAGTCTTCAACTTTCCTGCTTGTTCTGAGAAAAATGTAAAATTGTCCTTGAGCACAAACTAAAGACATTTAAACACAGTCACACCACTTTATGGACAGATTATAAAGTGATGAGCCAAATGTGAGTCAATTATCTGCACCTAACATTTCTACAGAGCAGAGCCCACACCTCCAGCAGAGCTTCAACAGCATCCCGAGGGAGAATGGCAACATTGAGTCAGAATGGACCATGTTCTGCGCCATCATTGCTGAAGCCATGGCCCTGAGCTGTGGTCGCAAGGTGGTTGGTGCCTGTCGTGGTGGCAACCCCCGAACCAAATGGTGGACACCGAGGGTGAGGGGATAGCCACCAGGCAGAAGGAAGAGTCCTATCGGGCTTGGTGAGCCTGTAGGACTTTGGAGGCAGCCGATAAGATACCCACAGGCCAAGCGGAACGTGGCTTGGGCAGTGGCTGACGCAAAAACTCGAGTGCTGGAGGAGTTTGGAGAGGCCATGGAAAAAGACCTTTTGATTGCCCCGAAGAGATTCTGGCAAACCATTAGGAGAATCATGAGGGGAAAGCCGTGCTCTACCTGCACTGTGTATAAGGCCAGCCCGTTCTCACTCCCAAAGCGTAACATTTTACGCTAGGTGACAAATCGTCACCATATTACGTTTTCGGCTACCCACCACGTTCCTAAATGATGACCTCGGAAAAAGAGGAAATGTGAGAACAGTCTGGACTGAATCTACACATGTTCGCTCTTTTTCTTCAAATCGCTTAGAAGCACGCTATGGTCAGGGCTAGGGATAAGGTTAGGTTTAGGGCTGGAATACAGGGCTGGAACGTCTATTACCGCGGGAGCGTCATTGCACTGGATTCCAGCCATAACCCGCTGCGTACCATAAGAACGCCGAAGGTCTCCTTTCGCGTTCCCCAGGAACGCCGCGGGACGTGACAAAACGTCGACATGTTACGCCTCGGGAGTGAGAACACTCTTATAAGGCAGGTGGAGCACTGCTCACTTCGATTGAAAATATTGTTGGGCAGTGGAAGAAATACTTAAAGGACCTCCTTAATCACACTGGCATGTCTTTTGATGAGGAAATATATTCTGGGGATGAGAGGAACTATTCGTCTATCTCTGAAAGTGAGGTCACTGAGGCAGTTAAACAACTCCTTGGTGGCAGAGCCCCTGCGGTGGATGAGGTCTGCCCTAAGTTCCTGAAGGCTCTGGATGTTGTAGGGCTGTCTTGGTTGACACGCCTCTACAATGTTGTGTGGAGATCAGGGGCAGTACTTCTGGATTGGCAGATTGGGCTTGTGGTTCCCATCTTTAAGAAGGGGACTGGAGGGTGGGATTCAACTATAGGGGGATCACTAAGTCCATGCCATGGTGCTGGAAAGAAGAGACTGTCTGTTAGCTGAATCTCAGATACAGGAGGAGCAATGCAGTTTTTGACCTGGTCATGGAACACTGGACCAGCTCTTTATCCTTTCAAGGATACCTGAGGATGCATGGGAGTTTGCCCAACCAGTCTACATGTATTTTGTGGACTTGGAGAAGGCGTTTGACCTTGTCCCTCGGGGTGTCCTTTGGGAGGTGCGTCAGGAATATGGGGTTATCTGGCTATTGCTACAGGCCATTTGATCCTTGTAAGACCATTGCTTGGTCCACTTAGCTGGCAATAAGTCGGACTTGTTCCCAGTGGGTGATGGATGCCGTCAGGGCTGTCCTTTGTCACCGATTCTGTTTATAACCTTTTTGTAAAGAATTTCTAGGCATAGCCAAGTGGCAGAAGGCTTTCATTCGGGTGGTCTCAGAATCTCATCTCTGCTTTTCACAGTTAATGTGGTTCTGTTGGCTTCATCAGGTGATTGCCTGCAGCTCTTACTGGAAGGGTTTGCAGCCGAGTGTGAAGCGGTGGGAATGAAAATCAGCACCTCCAAATCTGACGTCATGGTCCTCAGCCTGAAAATGGTGGAGTGCCCATTCCGGGTGTGGCGCAAGTCCTTCCCCAAGTGGAGGAGGATCTCGCCCTTTAAGTATCTTGGGGTCTTGTTCACGAGTGACGGGAGAAAGGATGGGAGATCGACAGACAGATTGTTGCTGCACCTGCAGTGATGCATGCACTGTACCGGTCCACCGTGGTGAACACAGAGCTTAGCTCTGGCTTGGCTTAAAAGATATATCTTTTAGGGTGAGGAGTTCGGGCCAGCTGAGAGATATTAACTCTCAGCTGGCCTTTAAACGCCTTGGTGTACGGATAAGCTGGAGGAGGTGGGTAGAGATATGGTGGGCTGAGCTTCTGTGCTTAGGCTGCTACCCCTGCAACCCGGCCCCGAATAAACGGAAGAAGATGGATGGATGGCTTTCATACAGTACCTTCTGACAGCTGCTTCAGCTGGTTCATCTCAGTTTTCTGACTCTCCAGCTTTGCTTCTAGTTCTGAGAAAATACCATAGAAATAAAAAGAAAAATCTCACTGACAGCACACAGTAATTCACAGGTTTTTATCTATAAGTAGGAGAGTAACTGTGGCTCTCATTCTGTTCATGCTACACTGAGCAGTGGCTGCCTCCATGTCCCCACATCCTCCACCTCCACCTCATCTTTATCCACAGTCTGTGAACTCTGGCTGTCCACTCTGTGTTTTCTGAATGTATGTAAAAGATGGCCACTAAAGCTTACCCCAGATCACTGGAAGAGTGATTTGGGTTACATTCTGCCATGTCCCATGTGTCATTTTCCTGTCTACTCTCCACTGTTCCTCCCCCGATAATGACTAAAAATGCCTGAGGAAAAAATATAAGATTTGAAGGCTAATCTTTTGGTCATATGTATATCCAGAACTCACATATACTTTTGGAGATATTCTCAGCTGCAACATTAAAAAAACCACCTTGTTGGAATATTGATGTTACACAGCTATGTCTTCATCCATGAAGAGTTTAAAAAATCTGGATGTCTAACAAGTAAAAAGAGCAACTTATATCTGCAGGTAGAGATATAACACAGACTTTAAATGATGGTTAGAATTGTTGTATCAGCAGAAACTGGTGTTTAAGTAAATGTTGAATTATTTGGTTTGGAAGAGTTTGCCATGAAGAGGAGCTGTGAGCTGTTTCATTATAAACACATTACAGTCAGTTCCTGATGTTGAGATGAAAAAAATGTTTTTTTCCTGGTATAAAATAATAGGATATTTTGAAATAAACGTTTTTTATAGGATTTTCTGTATGAAAAGACATAATAAAATAAATCATACTCAATGATGGTTTCCACACAGTACCTTTTGACTGCAGCTTCAGCTGGTCGATCTCAGTCTGTTGCTCTATCGCTCCTTGGTTTGAAAGAACTGCAAAATAAATTTGTTTCCCTGTACCATGAGTTTCTATGAAGACTACTTTAATATTTCTACAACAAAATATTCAGTCTCATAAGAAAACACATAACCATGAATGTTGGTCATTCCTGTTTCTGATCTTCTGGATATTTCTGAAGTCACATTGATGTATGAAACTGTACCTTGATTCTCTCTCTGTAGGACAGTGATCCGCTCTGTCTGCACAGCCAATGAGGCGGTCAGCTCTCTCAGCTCAGCATGGAAGTCCTGTGGACAGGACTGTTGGCCTGCAGTCTCAGTCTGATCTGCTGAAACAGAGCAGACCAGAAGCAAAAGTGGGAGAAACATGATGATCTTCATTCTGTCAACAGAAACCTGCTGTATAACTGTCATCTGTTAATCTGAGAGTTTTATAACGAGGGGAAAAGAGGCGTGAATGAGGAGGTTTCTGCCCCACATGTCCCCTCATCCTCCACCTCACACACTGCAGAGCCACAAGACCACGCCTCCTACAGGTGCTGTTGGTGAATGATTGAAGAAGCAAACTGCATGCATAAACAATCAGGGTCATGTAAACAGAGCAGGAATGAAGAGATATCGTCCCAAAAGTTTGATTCTGTTCATCAGTTCCCAACACTCCTTCATAAACAAACACCATCCAAGCATTTTCTGTAATCCTAAAACTGGACTTTGTATGTAAATAAATGTAACATTTTTTCATTGAATGTTGGCTTGATCATGTCAGCTGTGACCTCACAGAGCAAAAGAGAGGAAACCTTTGTTTGTCAAGCTTGTTGAACAAAGTACAATTCGATAATGCTCAAAACCTCCAACACACTGACATCAGCTTCTCTATGATTACTGGAAATCAACAGATATATTTAATCTTCTTTGTAAATAACTGCTCATTGCAAAGCCTCTGTCCAGTAAGTGGGCGTCACAAACTGTGGGCAAGGAAAACCCACAAAATAAACTCTTGCTTTTTCCCAACAGACCTATTGACTTGTCACAGTAGTGAAAGTACAGGTGGAACTAATGTCACTTCAAAACAAACCACACAAGTGTCAGTGCGTTAGAATATCTCCACCAGACCCAATTCAATTTCATAATTTTATTCAATTTTAATCAAATGACCCCCTATGAGCAAGCACTTTGGCGACAGTGGGAAGGAAAAACTCCCTTTTAACAGGAAGAAACCTCCGGCAGAACCAGGCTCAGGGAGGGGCGGGGCCATCTGCAAGGAAGACAGGATAAAGACATGCTGTGGAAGAGAGACAGAGGTTAATAACAGATATGATTCAATGCAGAGAGGTCTGTTAATACACAATGAGTGCATCATGGGAATCCCCCGGCAGCCTACGTCTATTGCAGCATAACTAAGGGAGGATTCAGGGTCACCTGGTCCAGCCCTAACTATATGCTTTAGCAAAAAGGAAAGTTTTAAGCCTAATCTTAAAAGTAGAGATAGTGTCTGTCTCCTGAATCCAAACTGGAAGCTGGTTCCACAGAAGAGGGGCCTGAAAACTGAAGGCTCTGCCTCCCATTCTACTTTTAAATACTCTAGGAACAACAAGTAGGCCTGCAGAGCGAGAGCGAAGTGCTCTAATAGGGTGATATGGTACTACAAGGTCATTAAGATAAGATGGGGCTTGATTATTTAAGACCTTGTATGTGAGGAGCAGGATTTTGAATCCTGGATTTCACAGGGAGACGATGAAGGGAAGCCAATACAAGAGAAATCTTTCTCTTTCTAGTCCCTGTCAGTACTCCTGCTGCAGCATTTTGGATTAACTGAAGGCTTTTCAGGGAGTTTTTAGGACTTCCTTTTTTTTTTCTTTTTTTTTTTTTTCCTGTCCCATTTGGTTCTTTAGCCGTCAGAATTGTTGTCTGAAGACCAACAAGGATACCCAATGGATTTACTTTGCCAAATGGATCATCATGGCATTGCCGTATTGGTCCATTTGATCGATCTTTGTTTTTATTATTTATTATATTTTATTTTCAGATGTTACAAACGGGACAGACATGAGTGAGGGATAGGAAAGGGAGAGAGAAAGAGGAAGGAAAGGAAAAACAGAAGGGGAGAGGGACAGTGATAAAGGGGGGAGAAAAAAATCTCCTGGATCACCTGTTGAGAGAAGAATAGAAAACAAGCAAAAAAAAAACAAAAAAAACAAAGCAACATACTAAACACAACACCATCGCATTAATCTAGCTAAGTGTAAACAGCAGTAAATACTAAATATTCAATGTTGTTGTGCAGCACGCAGGACAGATGTGCTTCGAAGTAGTAGCCAAGAAAGGTGTAATTTAAGTCTACGAGCAGTGAACACCCGTGTGCACACCTGTGTGGATCAGCGCGCTTGCATTCAAATGGTTTCCACATGTAATGGTCTGCAAGAGGATGTAGCGAGCCCCCAGGGCAGGCCTTTTTAAGACTTCCTGATAATAATGAATTACAGTAGTCCAGCAATAGGAATAATAGGAAGTAATAGGAAGACACTAATGGTGTCCACCATTTGGTTCGGGGGTTACCACAACGACAGGCACCAACCACCTTGCGGCTGCAGCTCAGTGAAGCAGCATTGCCAATGGAGGTGCTGAACATGGTCCACAGTCTTCCTCGGAATGCAGTTAAAGCCCTGCTGGAGGTGTGTGATGAAGATCTCACAGACTGGGACCTCTGCTAGGCATTACCAGCACACCCTTACTGTACGTTTAGGTGTGTTACACACCGGCCTGGGGGGCTGGAGTACAACACAAGAAAAATAATAAAAAGAAGTAAATCACACAGCCACAGCTTTACAATGACTAGTCGTTTTATTAACTTGACAGGTAGCGAGCGTCAGGGCGGGCATGGCCAAAACAACAAACAAAACACACTGGAAATGAATCAGAACTAACTTACCTACAGGGAGTGCAGAATTATTGGGCAAGTTGTATTTTTGAGGAATAATGTTATTATTGAACAACAACCATGTTCTCAATGAACCCAAAAAACTCATTAATATCAAAGCTGAATGTTTTTGGAAGTAGTTTTTAGTTTGTTTTTAGTTTGAGTTATTTTAGGGGGATATCTGTGTGTGCAGGTGACTATTACTGTGCATAATTATTAGGCAACTTGACAAAAAACAAATATATACCCATTTCAATTATTTATTTTTACCAGTGAAACCAATATAACATCTCCACATTCACAAATATACATTTCTGACATTCAAAAACAAAACAAAAACAAATCAGCGACCAATATAGCCACCTTTCTTTGCAAGACACTCAAAAGCCTGCCATCCATGGATTCTGTCAGTGTTTTGATCTGTTCACCATCAACATTGCGTGCAGCAGCAACCACAGCCTCCCAGACACTGTTCAGAGAGGTGTACTGTTTTCCCTCCTTGTAAATCTCACATTTGATGATGGACCACAGGTTCTCAATGGGGTTCAGATCAGGTGAATGTAACCCAGATCATTGTTGAGTTTGAGATTTCTGATTATTTGTAGTCACTGAACGCACCACTGTGCCACTCTCTAGTCCAGCTACAGAGTTTTTTCCTTCCGTTCGTCCGATGAGGCGCATGCTGCTCTCGTGCCCTCTGCGAGCTGGAAATTCGGGTACAGTAGACATTTGAGTTGCTGTAAATAGTTTTAAAAACCTTTTATATGTGAAGCTAATGATTTAATACATTGTTAGAAAAAGGAGTCTTGTAGCGGTTACGAACGTGAAGCTGAGCTGAATCCGACAGCCATTCGCCATTACACGAACCCCTCTGGTGAGTTAGTTTGCAGCTCATGTTCGTATGAAATGTTTTGTGTAGTGATGGCCAAATGAAGCTTTCCGAAGCACTGAAGCTTGTATTGAAAAACGGTTCATTACTCGAAGCTTTTCAACACAGTCCTCTCCGGTGACATCTGGTGGTGAAAATTTTGGAGAGCAGCTTGAATCTGCAAAATAAAACGGACTGCTCAATCATCACTGCTCACTCAAGAGTGGAGTTCTCTCTGATATTGGGCCACCGTTCCGTTGCTTTGAACATGTAATTGGTTTTGTTTACTCGATTGGGGGCTGAAAAAATGTAATGCGTATTTGCGTAATACATTTTGATCAATAAACTTTCCCTATTTAAACATGCACTATGGTGTGGCCTTTCTTTGCTCATAACTCCTTGATGTTGGTAAATACAATAAGTGAGCAATATATATAATATACATATGAGAATGCACAGCACATTATGGAGTATGCCCCTGCTGTGAAGTCCTGCCTCCATCTACTTGTCATTTAATCACTGGACAGCTGGACAGGTTCATACAAAATATTAGATGAGGCCAATTGTCCTATACATATTTTTGACCTAGGGGTGGGATTGATTGTGAACTGGAAAGGGAAAATGCTTAGGGAGCTGAGTACGGCTGCATCGTCACTGATTTGTAGAATCATTGTGATTCGATACAGGATCCGATTCAATTTGATTGGAATCTGGAAAGTTTTGCCTCAGTCAGAAATATTACAATTCTGATCATTTAACAGTATATATTAGAGCTGGGCGATAGAACGATAACGATATGTATCGCGATATAACTTTTACTCGATAGAGAAATTAAGCTATCGCGATAGACCTCGCCGCTCTTGTCCTCTTAAAAAAAAAAAAAGGTCAGCCAATCCAAATAAAGTAGCGCAGAGCCGAACCAATCACAGCCGCAGCGTCACGTCACGTGACTTGTTACGTACAGCACAAGTGCCAAGCCGCACATGTGTATTTGTTTGGAAAGCAGCCAGCGGGTAATGGAGGAAATGAGTGTGCCGACTAGAAAAATCAACCGAGCGTGACCGAAGAGAAAACAGATGATGGTTCCAACGCCGGAGAGATTGTCGAACGGAAGAGCCATAGAAGTTCCGTAGTGTGAAGGTATTTCGGCTATTTCAAGTCTGACAAAAAACAGAGTAGCGTGCACTGTAAATTGTGCCGAAAGCAAGTCTGGAAATACAATAAACTGGTGCATGCGTCACACTGTGCGCCACGTTATTGTTTCGGTGAAATGAATTTCTACAATACTGTTAATTCTACTCTCTGCAGTGTTTAAATGCTTACATATACACACAGTTACTGTCCCTCCACACATACGACTCGGTTCTGCTTCTATGCCCCAGCTTTGTTTACTTTTTCCCACCGAGGCTTCTAGACTTCTGATTGGCCAACATTTCTGCACGGTTAGGAATCTAGCGCCACCTGCTGCTTTGGCATGTTCATAGCAGTGTTTTCCTTCATTTCTGCCTTTATGTGTGGACGGGATTATTTTTTAAAACGAAAACGGAAAATCTCCGTTTTCAAAAATACCCGTGTACGTGTGGACGTAGCCTCAGTCTCTGACTGGAAGCGCTAATTCGTCATTCGGCTTTTGTCAGACTAAAGTAACTGTTAAAACTGTTTGAAAAGCTCAGCTATACAACAAGGAGAGATTGAGAATTTCCTTTTAGTTCTCAGTTTATTT